GAGAGGGGAGAGGTCCTCGGCCGACTGAAAAGAAAAGCTTGGTTCACCTCAAAACGGAGGGGGGCCGGGGGGGGGGGGACGCTGCCGGACCGGGGAGCCTAGGGGGCCTGGAGCCCAGGAGGCCTGCTCCCCGCAGTCCCCAGTGGAAGACAGGCCCTTCACACTGCTGGCCCAGCGCCTCTTCTCCAGGCCTGAGCCCGGCCACCGCAGGAAGGAACAGTGACCCTCCCTCCCTCCCGGAGCTGCCGGCACCTGCGGCGATGGCGCCCACCATGGGCTGCACCGTGAGGCCGAAGGGGGTAGTTCCAGGTGCCGATGATGAGGACCACGCCCAGCGCTCCGAGTGGATGTAGCACTCATCCTGCTGGGTTTGGGCCGTCTTCTCCGCGGGCTCGTCCAGAACCCACTCGGGGAGCTTCTTGATTATGTACTCGATCTCCTCCAGGCAGTAAACCAGCTCCTCGTGGTACGAGTTCCACTCGTTCTGCGGGGAGAGGCTCCCGTGAGGCCCAGCCCAGAGCGCTGAGCGGGTTACCGGGCGCTGTGGGTCCTGGCTCGCGGCTCCCGAGCTTTGTGACCCTGACCGACCTGCTACCCTTTCCTAACCTCAATCTCCCAATCTGCAAAATAGGAGCATGATCTGGGACTCCTAGCCGGGCTGCTCAACTTGCGGGGTGAGGGGGGCCATTCACCACAGTCTCCCCGGCTGAGGGGAGCCAGGGAGCGGGTGGGGTCTGCGAGAGCCCATCTGCAGGTGTGGGCACAGGTGTAAGTGCCTGAAGGGGGCGCCCCTCGGGGGAGTGGGGTGGGTGGGGGCGCCCCTGGGGGAGGAGTGGGGTGCGTGGGGGCGCCCCTCGGGGAGTGGGGGGCGCACCCTGTGGAGGTCGGCGGCCAGCGCGCCCGCGATGTCCTTCTCGCGCTCCTTGATCATGCGCCGCAGCGCCTCCAGCTGCTGGATGCGGAACTGCAGGGGGCGCGTGCGGCCCGAGTCGAAGGCGGCCCGGGCGCGCTGCACGACGGCGCTGATGGTGCTCATGGTGCTCATGGTGCTCCCGGTGCTCACGGTGCCTGCGGGGACGGAGACGGCGCCTTGGGGCGGGCAGGGCACGGCGGCACCCTGCTCCCCCGCCGGCCCTGGGCCCTGGCCGCGGGCGGCCCCCTGCCTGCCCCTCCCTGTCAGTTTAGGGGAAGGGGGCGCCCTCCCGGGAGCGCCGGGGAGAGGACCTTCTTTTGCCTTCGCAGCCCCGACCCGGACGCTGGCCCCTCTGCCCCCCGATCGCGCGGAGAAAGCGCCCCCCTCGCTGCAGTGAGGCCGGGAGTGGCGCCGTGGACCCCGAGTCCAGTGGCTGCTGGCGGTTCAGCAGAGGCGGGGCAGGCCCTCCCCGGCCTCCCGGTCCCTCCGGCCGCTGGGGAAGCCCGTGCGGCACCGGGCGAGCTCCAGCTCCGCACCCACCGGCCACTCCGCACCCCGCGGGTTTGAGGGCCCAGAGCCGCTGGCCGGCCGCTCGCTGGTTAGAGCGGCGGCGGGGCGGGCTGCAGGGTCTCGGGTGCGATTCCCAGCCTCGGGCACCCGTCGGGGTTGCAGGCTTGCTCCCAGCCCATACGGGGCGGCCAATCTGTGTGTCTCACATGTTGTCTGTGCGTGTCTCCCCCTCTCACTCTCTAAAAACCAATGGGAAACGCATCCTCGGCCCAGCTGCCCGGCACAGCCACCGGCCACCGGCCGCCCCAGCGGAGCCCCCAAAGGCAGGCCCGGCCGTGCGGGTCCCCTTCAGGGGCGACAGCATCGCAGCGTTTCCAAGCTTCCCGGTAAGAAAGCGCATCCGCCGTTTATAACAGAGACGCTGGCAGCGCCCTAAGCGTTCATGTCTCTCGGTGGGAGAATCCGCCTGTTTCCCAAAAGGGGCGGGAAGCAAGGATCCAATGACCGTCCCCCCCCCCCCTTCCTCTCTCTAAAAGTCAATTTTTAAAATAGTTTAAATAAAAATAAAAGGGCTCTGCTGCCCCTGTGTGATGGCGGAGGCGGGGCAGGGAGGCGGAGCGAGTGCTTCGCACCTTCATAAAGCGCGCTGTGCCCTGCGCCCCCACGAGGGCTCAGAGGAAAGCAGGTTGCAGGCGGGGTGCGCGAGGTGTGCGCTGTGCACACGCAGGAGAAGGCCCGGGGCAGCCCCCAGGGTGACGGCGGTGGGGGGGACTTAGAGGGGGTCTCTGTCCTCATCTTCTGTGGCGCTAAACTTGTGTGCAATGAACTTGCATCTATTTAAAATATTTGTTAACACAATGAGATATGTCACCTTACACCTGCCAGAATGGCTACCATCAATAAGTCAACAAACAAGTGCTGGTGAGGATGTGGAGAAAAGGGAACTCCGTGCACGGCTGGTGGGAATGAGACTGGTGCAGCCACTATGGAAGACAGTATGGAGTTTCCTCAGAAAGTTAAATATGGAACTCCCATTTGACCCAGTGATCCCACTTCCAGGAATATATCCCAAGAAACCAGAAACACCAATCAGAAAGGATATATGCACCCATATGTTCACTGCAGCACAATTTACAATAGCTAAGGTCTGGAAACAGCCCAAGTGCCCATCAGCAGATGAATGGATAAAAAGGCTGTGGTACATGTACACCATGGAATACTATGCAGCAGTAAAAAAGGATCTCTTACCCTTTGAGACAGCATGGAGGGACCTGGAGAGCATTATACTAAGCGAAATAAATCAGAGAAAGACAAGTACCATGTGATCTCACTCATATGGGGAATCTAACAAACAAAATAAACTGATGAACAAAATAGAAACAGAGGCATGAATACAGCTGCCAGAGGGGAGAGGGAGGAGAGGACTGGATGAAAGAAGGTGACGGGATTAGCAAAGAACCTGTACGCATACCCATAGACAGACAACAGAGGCCAGGGGAAGGGGGCAGGTGGGCAAAGGGGGTGGGGGAATGGGGACATCTGTAATAGTGTCAACAATAAAAATTAAAAATAAAATATTTGGCTGAACCGGTTTGGCTCAGTGGATAGAGCGTCGGCCTGCGGACTCAAGGGTCCCAGGTTCGATTCCGGTCAAGGGCATGTACCTTGGTTGCGGGCACGTCCCCACTGGGGGATGTGCAGGAGGCAGCTGGTCGATCTCTCTCATCGATGTTTCTAACTCTCTATCCCTCTCCCTTCTTCTCTGTAAAAAATCAATAAAATATATTTTAAAAAAAATAAAATAAAATATTTGTTAACCTTCTGAATAAAGCTGATCGGTACTGCTCATGGCAGAAAACGCAAAAGAGACAAAAGGGGTCACAGAGAAGTCAGCTCCCTCTCCCTCAGCAGCTCCTGCTGTCCCCCCAGAGCTTCCCCCCCACTTCAGACATCGGCGTCACTTCTAACATCAGAAAAAAGGTAAAGAAACGAGCCCGCTATATTATTGTTATATTCCTTTTTCCAAAAATT